AACAATTTCTGTTGACATTTTGTTAATTTATAATAAAATTTTTGGAAAAATCAAAATGGGTTCGTCGCTTATCGCCAAATTTTAGTTGAAGTCACCACGAAAAAACCAATTTGCTCTCAAATCACACCCTAAAACTTGTTTTTCTCAATTGTTAACTTTATTTTGCGTTGTGATAAACAATTTCCATTGATATTTTATTGATATTTAATGAAAATTGTGAGAAAAAAAAATCAAAATGGGCAATTTTCGTTAAAATCCAAATTTTTTTTTTTCAGTCCCTGTGCCATAAAATGCATCACTCTGTCTAAAATGGCCCTCAAACTCCGCAAAGACATCAAAAAATCCTCCTACTACGTGTGGTTCCTCGGCGCGAAGGAATCCAAGGGTCTCCGAGGCTCCGAATACGCCCTTCCGGTCATCAAACACCTCGAAGAGCGCGAAAAGGACGTCGAGCCCTTCAAGGTCACTCTTCAAGTCTCCCACAAGGGCCTCAAAATCATCCAAAATGTCGTCTCGCAAAAGGGCTCAAAACCCAAAAACGAAACAATCAAACATTTTATTCCTCACAACACAATTACTTGTGTTTATCAACACGAAGATGTGATTGCGTGCATTTTGCTCTTGTTTAATCCTGTCACAAAGTGTCCTTTACATGTTCATGCGTATAGATGTGACAGTTTGGAGACGGCAACGTTGCTGAAACAGCAATTACAGACGCTTATTGAAAGGCCTGAAAATCAGAAGAAGTTTGCGGAGATTGAGAGTCGCCTGAAAGGGGGGAAGGAGGGGAAGAAGGTGGAGTCGTCAGTGGGGAGCGACACGGGGACGAGCACGAGGGAGAGCGAGTCCAGCGAAGAAAGGTAAAAAAACTGAAAAAAGTGACCATTTTTGTCAACTTTCTTTTGATAAAATCCTGAAACTTGTTTGAACAATAAAATATTTCAAGGTCATAGTGAAATTGATTATTTTGGTTAAAAGTGATTTTTTTTTCAATTAAGGAAAGTTTGTACCACTGTCCTACATTTTTTATTTCTAATGGAATAACTCACATATCACAAACTGAGATTTCCTCTCTTATTAAAAATTAAACCACTTTCTACCAATCAAGGTTTTGGCCTTGACTGTTGATTTTTTATTAACTTTGGTAAGAGTAACAAATTTCAAAATTTTTATCTCTTGTACTAGGATATATTATGGAATGAAATTTTGTGTGGTGGTAAACCTGATATAGGTGTATACCCCCTAAATTTTGAAAAACAAATTTTGACCTAAACCACTAGAAAAAAAGAAAAAAATTGAATGTGGGATTTTTTTTGCTGCATAAATAAATCAATTCAATTTTTTTTACGTAAAAACTATGACACATTATTTACCTTAAAACAAAAAAATTATTTAAAATTGTGATTTGAAAAAATTATAATTGAGCGAAAATTAAAAATTATTTTTTTTTAATTGGGAAACAATCAATATTTGCTCTTTTGCCCCACTAAAGGTTTTATAAATTACTGATAATATAATCACAAAATTTTATTGAAAATTATCCAAAATTTGAAAAATAAATTTTTCAAAATTTCCATTTTCTGGACAATAGAAATTTTTAGAATTAAATTTTTCACGTTGATAGATGTGTATAAATTACCATTATAAAAAAAAGTGGCTCAAGGGCTTAAAAAAATCAATTTGGATATGAAGGAGGGATTTTTTTGCATAAAAGAATCAAAAATTTTGTTCTTGAAAACTGCAAAATTTTTATTAATGCCGTTTTGGCACACGATTTACTCTAACACGGTCTACCATTTCCAAAAATTTTATTTAAAAATGTGACTTGAAAATATCATTATTTAGCGAAAATTAAAAAAATTGCCTAGGAACATTGTCAAAAATATTTTTCAAAATTTTTATTTTCTAGACTAGAAATTTTTAATTTAAATTTTGCACGTTGATAATCCTTTGTAGATGAGTATAAATTACAATTATAAAAAAAATTGACTCAAGGATTTAAAAAAATCAAATTTTTTGCATAATCAAATGAATCAAAAATTTTTTACTTGAAAACTATAAACTTTTTTTTAATGCCGTTTTGGCACATGATTTACTCTAACACGGCCTACCATTTCCCAAAATTTTATTTAAATATGTAGCTTAAAACAGATGCAAAAAAATACGTCAAAAATCAAAATTTTTTGATTTGCAAAAACAAAACAAATTTTGAATATGTTTTTGCTTTTTAGTAAATCTCATAATTGTCCACTAAATCACAAAATTTCAAGAAATTTTTCAAAAACTTGGAAAAAAAACTTTTAAAAAGTGACAATATCAAAATTTCGAAATTTGCAACTTAGGCACTATGGTATATCTTAGACTGAAATTTTGCATGATGGTAGATCTGATATAGGTGTATATACCGTTAAATTTTGGAAAACAAATTTTGACTCAAAAAAAAAAAATGTTGGACTGTTTTTTTTGATGCATACCTAAATATATCAATTAATTTTTTTTTATTTTAAAACTATAAAACACACATTAATTCCCTTTTTGGCACATTATTTACCTTACAGTCTACCACTTCCAAAAATTTTATTTAAAAATGTGACTTGAAAAAATTATTAGGTATTTGTCAAAAAATTTTCAAAATTTTTATTTTGTAGATGTTCATAAATTACCATATCTAAAAAAAATATATTTTGACTCAGGGGCTTAAAAAAATCAAATCGGATATGAAAGAGGGAATTTTTTGCATAATCAAGTGAACCAAAAAAATTTTACTTGAAAACAATAAACTTTTTATTAATGCCGTTTTGGCATACGATGTACCCTAACACGACCTACCGTTTCCCAAAATTTTGTTAAAATTTGTAGCAAAAAATAGTCAAAAATCAAATTTTTTTAATTTGAAAAAAAAACAAATTTTGAAAATGTTTTTGCTTTTTAGTTGATCTCATAATATCATTGGTAAAAACTTGAACACTAAATTTTTTAATGAGTAATATATCAAAATTTCAGTAACTTAGACACTGTGACTGAAATCTTTGAATTTTGAAAATCAAATTTTGACTTGAACCACTATAAAAAAAATCTAATGTTATACTACTTTTTTTGCTGCATCAAATCAATCAAAAATTGTTTACTTGAAAACTATAAAGTTCACATTAATGCCGTTTTGGCCTATCATTTCCAATTTTTTTTTAATATAGCTTGATTTATTTTTATTTTCGCATTTAATTTTTTTACTATTTAAAAAATTTAAGAATTTGTCCAAAGAAATTTTGAAGGTCATCAAGAGTGTGAGTGCGTAATATTAGTTAAATAATCCCAATAATTATTTATAATTACCCATAATTACCGTGTTTTATTTTCACACACACTAACAGTAATTCAATGTTTGGTATTTACAAACAGCCCGTTAGAATAGAGATGTGCAACTCTTATTTATTTCACCTCAAGCGACATATAAAATGTAAAAAGGTCACGAGTTAATCACCCAACAAACCCAACTTTTATTGACCATTCTTGTTCACAAACAAAATCGTGTCAACAGGTTATTCTCCTTTTCTAGGTTAATTTTCAAACTTTCATTGAATAATTTTATTGTTCACATAATTATTATTTTGCAATAATCCACAGATTCGCTGTTGAACCAACTCGCGTGACCACCCTGTACGACTCAGTGGCGGCGGAATTGCGCGAAAAACTCGCCAAAAACAACGTCCCAATCCTGCTCCCCCCACGCGACTACGACACTGTCCACCGCCAAAAGGGCAATCTGACGGGAATTGAACTCCGCCGCTGTCTCAACGCCAACATCGTCGGCCAAAACGCCAAAGGGCGAAGACTGGAAAGCAGTGGCGGCAGCTCAGGGATCGGCTCCGATCACCCCCCAAGCCCCGACTCGCCCGACGCCCCTGACACCAGATTCAACACTTTGGACAACCAAAGCACGAGCGGTGAGTCACTCGAAAAAAAATTATTACCCGCCACTGGAATAAATACTTTTTTGGTGTTTGTTACTATGGATACGTAGCATTTCCATAGCAACGGTACGTGTTAACGTGCATAGTCGACTCGTAAAGTTGGGAAAAAGGTTTTTGGGCATAATTTTGACGTTTCTTATTTATTTTCAAGACTTTGTTGTTTTTTGAGCCAACAGCTGGGATTTGAGCCGTTATTCTTGTAGCCTTGTGGTCATCACCCATCGTTTTTCTTCTTATTATTACTATTATTATCGGGTGTTTGCGGTTGCTAACCATTGTCTTGTAACCGTTTATACAAATTTGAACCGTTGTCCTGAAAAGTACTTCCTCCAAGTGTCGTTGACTGTAACAACAATTAAATTGGAAGCATGATGGATCACGTGACGCCTGAAAGAATGATTTACTTTCGCTAGGTGTGTTGAATTCGGCCGTGACTTTTCAGTTCTTCTCCAAGAGCATTGGATAATTCGAGTCACTCTGTATGAAAAATTTGAGGAATGTCGATGGTTTGCCTCTCTATTTGCGTTTCTGGGTTAAAAGATTCAACTCTTGACTCAGCCGACGGCAATTATACAGATCGGTTCCGAAATACGGTTATTAATTGGAGTCGGCTGAAACAATGCGTCTCACGAGTAATTGCGCGAGTTGAAGACACTTCCGGATGGATAACAGGACTGTGATGACACCCGGAAACGAGCAATTTTAAGGCATGGGTTCGTCGCTTATTGAAAAATTTTCGTTCAAGTCACTGACAAAATTTCAGTTTTTTGCAAAATTTAACCCTGAAATTAATTTTTGTTAATTTTTAACTTTATTTCATGTTGTGGCAAAGATTCTAAATGAGGATTTTTAACGATTTTTATGAGATTTGTTGGAAAATCAAGGTGGGTTCGTCGCTTAAAGCCAAATTTTAGTTGAAGTCACTGTGAAAAAATTGTTTTTTTTACAAATTACACCTGGAAATTAATTTTTTTTAAGTGTTAGATATATTTTGCGTTGTAATAAACAATTTCTGTTGATATTTTATTGATTTTTATTGAAATTTGTTAAAAAAAATCAAAATGGGTTCGTCGCTTATCGCCAAATTTTAGTTGAAGTCACTGTGAAAAAAATTGTTTTTTTACAAATTACACCTGGAAATTAATTTTATTTAAGTGTAAGATATATTTTGCGTTGTAATAAACAATTTCTGTTGATATTTTAATGATTTTTATTGAAATTTGTTAAAAAAAAATCAAAATGGGTTCGTCGCTTATCGCCAAATTTTAGTTGAAGTCACTGTGAAAAAAATTGTTTTTTTTACAAATTACACCTGGAAATTATTTTTTTTTAAGTGTTAGATATATTTTGCGTTGTAATAAACAATTTCTGTTGATATTTTATTGATTTTTATTGAAATTTGTCAGAAAAAAATCAAAATGGGTTCGTCGCTTATCGCCAAATTTTAGTTGAAGTCACCACGAAAAAAACTATTTGCTCTCAAATCACACCCCAAAACTTGTTTTTCTCAATTGTTAACTTTATTTTGCGTTGTGATAAACATTTTTGACGTTTTATTGATTTTTAATAAAATTTGTTGCAAAAATTAAAATGGGTTCGTTGCCTATTGCGCAATTTCTATTGAAGTCACCAACTAAATTTCTGTTTTTTTTTAAATTTAAGCCCGAAATTAGTTTTTGTTCTTTTTTCAGTTTGTTTTACGTTGTGACAAAAATTCCAAGTGAAGATTTTTAACAATTTTTTGATTTTTAATCAGATTTGTTGGAATATCAAAATGGGTTCGTCGCTTATCACTAAATTTTGGTTGAAATCACCACGAAAAAAATTATTTGCTCTCAAATCACACCCCAAAACTTGTTTTTCTCAATTGTTAACTTTGTTTTGCGTTGTGATAAACATTTTACGTCAACATTTTTGACGTTTTGATTTTTTAATAAAATTTGTTGCAAAAATTAAAATGTGTTTGTTGCGCGATTTCTATTGAAATCACCAACTAAATGTCTGTTTTTTTCAAAATTTAAGCCTGAAATTAGATTTTGTTAAATTTTAACTTTATTTCACGTTGTGACAAAGATGCCAAGAGAAGCTTTTTAACGATTTTTTGATTTTTAGGCAGATTTGTTGGAATATCAAAATGGGTTCGTCGCTTATCGCCGAATTTTAGTTGAAGTCACTATGAAAAAAACAGTTTTTTTTACAAATTGTTTATACAAAGTGTTAGATAATAAACAATTTCCGGTTAATATTTTATTGATTTTTATTGAAATTTGTCAGAAAAAAATCAAAGTGGTTTTGTCGCCTATTGCGCGATTTCTGTTTAAATCACCACCAAAAAAATTAAACCACTTGATTTTCACCATAAGTGTTAGATATATTTTGCGTTGTAATAAACAATTTCCGTTTACATTTTATTAATTATTAATCAAATTTGTTGTAAAAATCAAAATGGGTTTGTCGTTTTAATTGAAATCAACACGAAAAAAGCTGTTTGCTCTCAAATCACATCCCAAAACGTCTTTTTCTCAATTGTTAACTTTATTTTGTGTTGTGATAAACATTTTACGTCCATATTTTTGACTTTTTATTGATTTTTTTAATAAATTTGTAGGAAAAATCAAAATGGGTTCGTCGCCTATTGCGCGACTTCTATTGAAATCACCAATTAAATTTTTATTTTCTTCAAAATTCAAGCTCGAAATTACATTTTGTTAATTTTTAACTTTATTTCATGTTGTGACAAAGATTCCAAGTAAAGATTTTTAACGACTTTTTGATTTTTATGCAAATTTGTGGGAATATCAAAATGGGTTCGTCGCTTATCGCCAAAATTCAATTGAAATCATCACGAAAAAAGCAGTTTGCATCTCAAAACTGGTTTTTCTCAATTGTTAACTTTATTTTGCATTGTGATAGACATTTTACGTCAACATTTTATTAATTTATAATAAAATTTTTGACAAAATTGGAAAAATCAAAATGTTGAAATTACCAACAAAAAAATTAAATCACTTGATTTAATTTCTGATTTAGCAAATTTATTTCCTCCTGCCAGATGTTCTTCCGATTTCTCTTGATTTTCTTGCAATTCCGCCTCGCCCATTATCCGAATGACAGATGAGTCTTGGGCGAGGTCTCTGCAGGTACTCGCCATCGGCTATAGGCCGAAGAATGCGGAAACGGCGCCATTTTTTCCCCCCCGAAGGGCCACTTTTTGACAATGACGAAGAAAACGACGACAACATCGACTTGTTTGTCGATCGTGAACAGAGTTAAAGACCCACATTTGATGACCCACATACCGACCCAACTTTTTTCTCTTCTTTTGCATACTCGACTGAACAGGTGCGTCCGCGAAAAAACCACTCAGGACCTCGTGAACTTTGGCCCCAACACCGTTTCGTGAGAAACACATCCACAATTAATTAATTAAACAAAAAAATTTTTTTTGAATTGTACCAGGTGTATCACATTTTATAGGCACTCTTTTAAAACACCCTGTATGTGTTAAAAATCAATTTTTTTTATTTTAGACGAAGACTGGAACGGTGACCCGGCCGACTCCACCCTCTACCTGATGCCCGCCCCGCCCCAAGTGACATTGCCCCGCCCCAATCGTGAAAAATCCCCCGAACTGCCACGTTATTACAACCAATCAAAACCAAGTACCCGCGACATTGCTAAATATCTCGAAAAACCAATTTCAAAATATCTAGAACGTCAAAAACACTCCTACGAAACAAAAGAAAAACCAATGAAATACTTCGACGATGATGGTTTTGATGAAAATTTACGGTAACTCCGCCCCTTTTCCATCAATTACATTGTCAACATTTGATTTGTAGTTACAGGAACCGCCCCCGGTACGAATTCACGTATCAGGAACCGCCTGTTCCCAAAGCGCGTCAGAGATACCCATCGGATGACTCTCGTTATTACTCCGCCCAACGAAGCCCCTCCCCTGTGGAAACCTCCCCACGTGACCGATTTAAAGACGCCAAAGAGAAGTTTCTGTCAATGGAAAAGGAGCGTTTGAGTCACGAACCGCCCATTTCGCCAATCAAACGCCATGAAAGTATGATGTACGCCCCTAAACCCGCCCCTCGACACGTCTCCGATCGAGATGTGCCGTTAGGGCGGTACCGAAATGACAAATACGATCCGAAAAGGAGGTCCATGTTTAGTTTGATTGAGGAGGAGCATCGGAAAAACTCCAATGAAATCGCGAGGGAGTTGAAGAGGCGGAGCTACATGGATGATGACGTCAGAGATACGGATTATAATTTGTCGAAAAGTACAGTCGAGTTGGATCAAGTGGGAGAGGGGATGTATAAGAAGGGGGGGTATAGACATAGTTATGCCGAACCTAAATTAAGGGTGGAAAAGGGGGGGAAGAAACATTTCGAAATGTTACACAGGACCAATAGCGTGACGAATAATGGAAGGGTGGGGATTGCAAGTGTGCATCCATATTAAATGCTCATTGTGTATATAGGGGACATTAGTTAAGTCGTCTAGTGTATATTTATTTCTCTTGATGTGCCTTTTTAAGAGGAGGAGCCATTTAGGAACTTTTGGTTTCCTCACTAACAAACTAATTAATGGTTTTTTATTTAGTTATTTATCTTTTTATATAATTTATGTATTTCTGGTTTTGTATATTATATCAGATGTCTATTTAAACGCAAATTCTATTTTAATAAATGATTTTTTTACAAAATTGATTCTTTTTGTTTCCATTACACACAAAAATTATCAAAAAAAATGAGTCACCCTATGGATGTTTTTGCAATTTAAAAATTATTATTTTGTTTAAAAAATCGAAACTTTTCGTGTCAAATTCACAAAAACTGTGATAAAAAACTTTTTTTGAATCGTCCTGTAGATTGTCAAAATTTAAAACAGGATTCTTTTTAGTCAAGTTTCAAACCGCGTTGTTTTTGCTACCGGCTGCTAGATGGCGGTTTCTTTACCTTCAGTTGAATATTGCAAATCTTGCGCAATTTTCATACTTTTTATGTATCAAGGAGCTGAAATAAAAGCTTTCTCTTGTTTTTGCCGGCCGGCCTATTATTATCGACTGCTACCGATAAAGGTCAAATAATTGGCGAAAATAGGTTAATTTTAAATGTCATAATTATGAATTAAAATGGTATTTTCTATGCAACAGGAAGTGTGCGTTGCATTCACCGACAGATGCTATAAACAATACAAACAAAAGAAAGATTGGGAAAGTGACAGTTGTGATTATATCGTTGACAGATTAGGATAATAATACTACACGTGATTTACTTTTATTTTTTCGTAATGACAGTCTAATCGATAGTCAAATGGTTTTTTAATAGCTAATTGAGAGTGACGTAAGCCAACTTGTGAAACTTGTGAAATGGAAATAATGGCTTTTATTGATTATATTAGTGTCAAATTTCTTAATAAAAATTGAAATAACAAGTTTTGATTGTTTCAAAATGACAGGATATATAAATTATGACATTTAATATAATTTCAAAAAATTGTGACATTTTTCAAGTCGACTGGATTAAAAACACACGTAAATACTGGTATTGCCACTCACTGATTTCTAGCACACTCTGTATAAGAAAATAAAAATGTGTCATTAGCTTTGTCTGCTACTGTACCTTTAAAAATAAAATTTGTTGTTTTAATCATTTTTCTTACTTGTAAACAATAAATATTTATTAATTCAATTGTTTATCAATTTATCTAAACCACATTTAGATATTTTTATCAAAATTTTATCGAAATAATGAAAAAAAAACAAACATGTTATTGCAAAAAGTTGATATAAATTGGCAACTCTTTGGGGCAAATTTTCAGTACTTTCGTGTAGTGAAAAATGGACCCACAAAAACCTGAATCCGACCCTGCGAAACTCGCAGCAACCCTAAAAAAATTCCTCACATCAAAACCTTACGACGAAGACGATATCACCGAAACCGCCAAAAAAATCTTCTCTGAATTGGACCAAAATTTCGACCAATTCAAACTCGTGACTCTCTCCGACGATTTACCCAAAATTCTTCCCTCTGAAACACCAATTTATGCAATTTTTGAAAAACTGAAACAAAAATGGGTGATTTTTTGCATAATTGAAACCAAAATTTTCTACAAGGACTCGTCCGGTGAAAAAATGCCCTACCGACTTGAGAAACAACTCAAAATTCTATTTCCGGAAGCTGAAATAATTGCCAACTTGGACCAAGACCATGGTGACGAAGAAGTGGAAAATTACGGGCCTTTTTGTCTCCGAAATTTGCGAATTTTGCTAAATTCAGGCAAAGAAATCGATCCCAAGCAAAAATTTTGCCAATTGAGTGATGTCAATAGTGAGAAAATTGAAATTGTGCTCAAAATGGCACAAGATTTTGAGAAAAATGATGATTTTAAAAAGGCCCTAAGTGAGTTTATTGATTCACTACCGCTGGAATTGGGGTCAGGTATGTTGAACTATAAGAAGATCCTTGAAGAGGAATTGGATAAGGATGAGAAGGATGTGGACCATGACAGGATTAAAAAAGCCCGTGAGGAGTATTTGAAACCTGAAAACATTGATAAGCTACATGAAAATTACAAAATCTCCGACACTGAAGTCGAAATCAAAATACTGAAAAAATTCCCGGAGGAAATGGACAAGTTGGGCGAAATTTTCCTCACTCTTGACTTTATCAATGACGAAACTCAGCTCAATTCCGCCTTGGAACAACTATCAACGATTTTATCAATCGACGATAACAAACTTAAATCTTTTTACGAATTCAAAACTAAAAAAAACGAGCAAAAAAACCCAAAATTAACCCCTGACGACATCACCCAAATCGCTGATAATCTCCCAATTATCAAGCAGAAACACGACAAAACCACCCCTTTTGACGAAATTCTATCACAAATCACCCTTGGTAAAGACTTGAAACCCTCATCACCGACCCAATACACCCCCAAGAAGAGTCAACTCGAGCAAAATTACTACTTGGTCAAGACAAAATACCAAAATTTGAGTTGGAGTAGCATCCAAGATGTCAATTTTTGGGCAATTGCGAAAAAAGGACACTTGGGGGAGACACTTGACGAAATTTGCGAAACCATAGCCATCTCTGATCGTGTTTATTTTTTGTTAAGTGGTGGGAATCGTCTTCGGGATACCCAAATTCTGGCGATTTTGCTCTTTTTCCAAAATGATCAAGGTCGGCTCTGTGAGATTAAAACCGGTGAGGGGAAAACTATAATAGTGTCAATTTTGGCCGTTATCAAAGCCCTTCAAGGCCATTTAGTTGATGTGATAACAACTAGTCCGGTTTTGGCCAATGAGGGGGTTGCCCAAACTAGGAGTTTTTACTCCATTTTTGGGGTAACTGTCTCAAGTAATGATTTGGCAGTTGGCTACACTGCTGACGTTGTCTATGGGAGTATCAACAGCTTCCAGTTTGACTATTTGAAAGACAGTTTTGAACGACGCTTTGGTCAAGTCATCTTAGACGAAGTTGATAGTTTATTGGTTGACAATGGCGGCCATATTGCCAAAATTGCAACCCCCTTCCCCGGAATGGAGAACCTCCGCTATATCTTCATCAAAATCTGGCAAGAGTTGCACAAAGCTGAAGAAAGTTTCATTGAAGAAAACCAAGAGAAGATTTTGACAATTGTGACAAAACCACAAGACGAAGCATGGAAACTTCTTGACGATTTCTTCAACCAAAATGAACGCAAAATCATCATGGACAAAATCAGGGCTACCAATCCGAGTGACAACCCGCTTATCCCCCCCCACCTCATTGACTATGTCCACGACAATTTGGATAATTGGATCGAGAGTGCCCTGATTGCCAAATACGACTGTCATCTTCACCAACAATATCGCATCGTCGATGGTACCATCACCCCAGTTGACAATCTCAACACTGGTGTGACCTTGAAGAATACAGTGTGGTCCAATGGCCTCCAACAGTTTCTTCAATTGAAGCACAATCTTCACCTCACTTGTGTTACCCTTCCTAGTATCTTCATTTCCAACATTGGCTATATCAAAAACTACCAAAACATTTTTGGGGTCACTGGAACTTTAGGCTCCACCACTGAGCAAGACCTCCTCTCCACCATCTACAACGTCACTTTCTCCAAAATACCAACATACAAACCAAAAATCTTCGAAGAAAACCCACCAATTGTCACCAATGATTGGGACATCGAAGTGACCGCTGAAATCGTGAAGAAAATCGATGAAAATCGCGCCGTTTTGGCCATCTTTGAAACAGAACAAGACTTAATCAACATTGAACAAAACCTGAAAATCATCCAAAATGGCGACTTCCGTCTAAGGATCTTCGCAAAAGAAGAGGAAGCACAAGAAATGAGGAACAAAGTCCAAGTTGGCGACGTGATTTTGGCAACCAATCTCGCTGGACGTGGTTGCGATTTCAGGACTGAAGAAAAGTTGGAAGAAAATGGCGGTTTGCATGTTCTTGTCGGCTTTCTTCCTTGCAATCTTCGAGTCGAGGAACAAGCTTTTGGCCGGACTTCGCGTCAAGGGAAGAAAGGAAGTGCCCAATTAATAATCCGGGGTGAGCACAATGGTACTGAAATAAAAAACGCAAGAGATGAGCTTGAAGCTGAAAGATTGAAACACGTTCGTGACGTTGTCCTGAAAGAAATCAGCTTCAAGGAGAGGTTAGTTAAGCTTTTCTCTGACTTGTATCTGAAAGTCAAACGTTTGAAGGTGTTACAAGGGGAGTTTCAGTATTTCCTTCAGGATCTGAAAGAGTTTTGGGCTTTTTGGTTAGATAAAAACAACTTCAGCATCAGGAACATGAAAAATAGTCCGGAAGAAGAATTTCTGAAGTTTGTTATTGAAGCTCATGAAATTATCAACGGGGAAATTAAGCACAACCCTTACTACTCCATCGCCTTAGCTGATTATTATTTGGAAAATAACAAAAAAAATAAAGCTCGACTTGAGCTTCAGCATGCTATAGCAATGAGTGACAACCACAGCGAATTGCTAGCAGGAGCCCACATGAAACTTTTCGAAGTTGCTATAGCTAGTGGTAACCAAACATGGGAAAAAATCAAAAAAGCTCTAGCTAAAGTACTTTTCATCAATGTCCAAAAAAACACACAATACAAGAAAAATGCTTTAACACAGTTAAATCAAGCTAGCAATGCTGTAACTCTAGAAATTGACTATATCGAGAATTTCCTGAAAAACCCCGATTTTGAGAAAATCCTTCACGAGAGTGAAAATAAATTCCTGAAACACATTTACTCTCGACTTTACTGCCTGAAAACCCACAAAGGAAACATCGACGAGTTAGTGAAACAAATTGAAGAAACTGAAGACGATGGTGTTGATTTCAGTGGAAAAGCTCAATCGACTGTTGACAATCACCGGAAAATTGACGAAAATTCAGTCGTGACTGAAATCGAGTTATCTGAGCTTCAATCAGTGGGCCTTGACGCGCTTTATGCCCTTCGAAGGGTCAAGGACGTCCCTGATTACGTCATATATGCCGCTCAAGCCCAAATTGGAGGAGGGATTACAGCTTTGGCTGCTGGGCTTTTCTTCCCGCCCATTTTCCCGATCATGAGTCCCTTAGGAGTGACCCTAATTTCAGAAGGGATTATTGACATTGTTTTCTCCTTGTTTGAGGATAATCCCGAGTTTAAGGACTTCATGAAGGGCAAAGCTGTGTCCTATGGGATTGCACTGGTTACTTTCGGGATTAGTGCAATTGCACAATCGATCAAAATTTTGACGAAAGCTTTGAGCTTTTTCCGGAAGTTGGCCACGTTTTTGCGCAAAAGCCCCTACCTGAAACAGTTGTGTAGCAGGATTGCCAATCTAGTTGACAAGTGGGGGAATTCAGTTGAGAAGCTTTTGGAAGTTGCAAAGTTCAATAAATTGACGAAAAGTGACCAATTGAGGCGACTGAAAGAGTTGCAAAAAAGTGGCAAAGCTTTTGACCATTTGGGCGGTTTAAAAAAATTGAAGAGTTTGGAGAAGTTGCAGAAAGTTGGCAAGTTGCGTGAGTTGACCAGAAGCCAACTCCTCGTCCAGTTTGCCAAAGACGTTGCTTGGGAAACGGGAAAACAAGGCGGGAAAAGATTGTTAAATAAGTTTGTTGTTAAGCCTTTGATTGCCAAAATTTTCGGCGAATTGATTGAAAAAATCAAGAGACTTTTTGTCGAAGCTTTGAAAAAGTCAATCAAAGACAATCGAAATTTGCGGGAAAAAATTCGGACGACTGAAAAGTCGGAAATTGACAAAACCCTTGACGAGTTTATCGGAAAAGAGGACAAAGCTTTGAAAAAACTGAAAAAATTTGTTTTTGACACTTTGGGTAAATTCAACAGCACTACAATCGATGTCTTGACACTCTCCTATGACACTGCTGTTAATTTGGCTGAAATTGGGCGAATTTGCTCGAAATTTGCGTCAAATCTTGAAAAAAAACTGAAAGGCGGGAGTGAAAATAACAAAGTCGATGAAATGATTGAGAAAATTTGCGCGAAATTGGCCGATAAATTGCTTTCATTATCGTGGGATGTCCTGAAGGACAATGTCAAGTTTGCGTGGAAGCACAAGGATATCTTCTCTTCGAAAAAACAAACGACTGGAGTTGTCCTGAAACCAAATACTGAAAGTGGGAAAAACGGTAAAGAAGATTCCTGGAAAATTTTTGGACTCGCACCTGGAGCTTCACTCACTGAAGTTAGGAAGCATTACAAGAAAATGGCCCTGATTTTGCATCCTGACAAAAATCTAAACGATCCTGCTGCCGTGGAAAAGTTTCAGAGGTTCCAAAATGCGTACGAGGACATTTTAAAGACTTTTGAAAAAGGAAAAGGAAAAGGAAAGAAAACAGCAGCACTTGAAACAATTTTAAACAATTGAAAAAAAAATAATAATCATTACTTTTATTATTTACAATACGTAAAAATTTGATTTTTTATATTTTAAATGTTTGTTACAAAGCGAAATAATGTTAAAACTAAAATAAAAACTAATTTTTTGTTGTAATTCTCAAGCAATTAATTTTTTTCGTGGTGACTTCAACTAAATTTTGGCAACAATCGACGAACCCATTTTAAAAAATTGATTAAAAATTAAATAAATTAATAAAATTGTCAACTTCAAATGTTTGTTACACAGCGAAATAATGTTAAAACTAAAAAAAAACAATTTTTTATTGTAATTTTCAAGCAAATAATTGTTTCGTGGTGACTTCAACTAAATTTTGACAATAAGCGACGAACCCATTTTAAAAAATTGATTAAAAATCAAATAAATCATTAAAATTATCAACTTCAAATTGTTTGTTACAAATGGAAATAATGCTAAAACTACAAAAGAAAACAATTTTTTGTTGTAATTCCCAAGCAATTAATTTTTTTCGTAGGAACTTCAACTAAATTGTGGCAATAAGCGACGAACCCATTTTAAAAAAGTGAGTAAAAAATCAAATAAATCATTAAAATTGCCAACTTCAAATGTCAGTTACAAAGCGAAATAATGTTAAAAGTAAAAAAAACTAATTTTTTGTTTACAATACGTAAAAGTTTGATTTTTTACATTCCCACACATAATATCTAACAAATTGAACACACAATGCAGTTTCGCACAAAAACAACGTTAAGTCAATAATTTTATTAGCGAGAAAAGCTTGAGACTGAAGAGTTTTGAGGTTAACACAATTTTAAATATTTAACGAGTAAATTTGTACGTTATTTTATCACGTACGTAACGCAAACAGAGATAAGATAAAGAAACAAGAAGAAAACGTAACCGTTTTTTACGATATTAGAAAAAAAGAATTAAAAGGGTTCGTCGCTTATTTCCAAAATTTCATTAAAGTCTCCGGAAAAATATCAATTTTCGCTATGTTCTAATTATTTTTTTTAATTAATTAATTTAATTGATTGCGTTATATTAATAATAAAATAGCTTATAATTTTAGTAAAAAAAATAAAACATCAAAAGCGGGACATTAAAAAATGAATTTTTTGGTTTTAAAGTTGTTAAAATTACAAAAATTAATAAATCAAACATTACCCAAATTAAACAATCAATTTTTTAAGCCAATTTTAGCCAATTGAGTTTTTTGTTGGTGACTTCAACTACATTTTGGCTATAAGCGACGAACCCATTCATAACATGTTTCAAAATTATACAAAAACAGCTCAAATTTTTATTATTTTTTTGTAGCTACGTTTTATTGATTATAAATTAAAATGATCAGATTTTAAATTAAATTAATTTGTTTTGTTGAGTTAGTTGTATTTTTTTTTCTTGTTTTATGTAATTCAGCCATATTATTTTCGTTTTCCGTATTAAAATACCACGAGATTCATTTTCAGGAAATACGAGAGCAGTCTTTATCAGATTACAATAACACTTGAGCTAAATTACCCAATCAAGAAACCTTTCAGCTTATTTTGTTTCAAACTTAGTCGATGCATCAACTTTCTTCTCGGCAAGAAAGTAGTTCCAAAAATGAACCCATCGCTGAAAAAATCGCTCATCTAGACATTCCGTGGCCTACATCCAGCAACATGCCCGTCTCTGCAAATTTCGGAGGCATTTCACGCTAAATTACTTCAGCAATGAAGTGTCTTCTTTTGTGAAAGTCGCAGATTTTCAGCGGAAATGCATAGAAAGTCGACTCATTTGACCATTTTTGGACCAATCGACACAGAAAACGCTTTTCGCGTGCATCTGCAATTGTGAAATTGTCGCCGGGTGACGTAAGGTGTTATTTAACAGGAGAAATATTAGAGTTGCGAAATTTTAGACTGGGAATAGTGAGCTGTGATTGTAATTTGGGCGTTTCCTGCATCTACCACTTTTTTTAGACACGAGAAATTGCAAAACTCGCGACTAAAACGATAAAATTTCAGTGAATTTAGTTTTTTTTGGTCAGTGACTTCAACATAATTTTGGCAACAAGCGACGAACCCATTTTAAAAAGTTGATTAAAAATGAAATAAATCATTAAAATTGTCAACTTACAAGGCGAAATTATGTTAGAATTTAAAAAAAAAACTAATTTTTTATTGTAATTCTCATGCAATTAATTTTTGTCGTAGTGACTTCAACTAAATTTTGGCAATAAACGACAAACCCATTTTAAAAAATTAATTAAAAATCAAATAAATCATTAAAATTGTCAACTTAAAATGTTTGTTACAGGGAGAAATTTGTTAGAATTAAAAAAACTAATTTTTTATTGTAATTTTCAAGCAATTTTTTTTTTCGTGGTGACTTCAACTAAATTTTGACAACAAGCGACGAACCCATTTTAAAAAATTGAATAAAAATCAAATAAATTATTAAAATTGTCAATTTCAAATGTTTGTTACAAAGCGAAATAATGTTAAAAGTAAAAAAAATAATTTTTTGTTGTATTTCTCAATCAATTAATTTTTTTAGTGGTGACTTTAACTAAATTCTGGCAATAAGCAACGAACCCATTATGAAAAATTGATTAAAAATCAAATAAATCATTAAAATTGTCAACTTAAAATGTTTGATACAGGGAGAAATTATGTTAGAATTAGAAGAAAAAAAACTATTTCTTTTATTGTAATTTTCAAGCAATTAATTTTTTTCGTGGTGACTTCAACTAAATTTTGGCAATAAGCGACGAACCCATTTTAAAAATTTGATCAAAAATCAAATAAATCATTAAAATTGTTAACTTAAAGTGTTTGTTACAGGGAGAAATTATGTTAGAATTAAAAAAAAAACTAATTTTTTGTTGTAATTTTCAAGCAATTAATTTTTTTTGTGGTGACTTCAACTAAATTTTGGCAATAAGCGACGAACCTATTTTAAAAATTTGATCAAAAATCAAATAAATCATTAAAATTGTTAACTTAAAATGTATGTTACAGGGAGAAATTATGTTAATACTAAAATAAAAACTAATTTTTTGTTGTAATTTTCAAGCAATAAATTTTTTTTGTGGTGACTTCAACTAAATTTTGGCAATAAGCGACGAACCCATTTTAAAAAATTTTTCAAAAATTAATTAAATTATTAAAATTATCAACTTAAAATGTTTGTTACAGGGAGATATTATGTTAGAATTAAAAAAAACTATTTTTTTATTGTAATTTTCAAGCAATTAATTTTTTTCGTAGTAACTTCAACTAAATTTTGGCAATAAGCGACGAACCCATTTAAAAAAAATGATTAAAAGTCAAATAAATTATTAAAATCGTCAACTTAAAATGTTTGTTACAGGGAGAAATTATGTTAATACTAAAATAAAACTAATTTTTTGTTGTAATTCTCAAACAATTATTTTTTTTCGTGGTGACTTCAACTAAATTTTGTCAATAAGCGACGAACCCATTTTATAAAATTGAATAAAAATCAAATAAATTATTAAAATAGTCAATTTCAAATGTTTGTTACAAAGTAAAATAATGTTAAAAGTAAAAAAAAATAATTTTTTGTTGTATTTCTCAAGCAATTAATTTTTTTCGTGGTGACTTCAACTAAATTTTGACAATAAGCGACGAACCCAATTTATAAAATTGATTAAAAATCAAATAAATTAATAAAATTGTCAACTTAAAATGTTTGTTACAGGGAGAAATTATGTTAGAATTAGAAAAAATATTTTTTTATTGTAATTCTCAAACAATTTGAGAGCAAACAGCTTTTTTCGTGGTGACTTCAATTAAATTTTGGCAATAAGCGACAAACCCATTTTAAAAAATTGATTAAAAACAAAATAAATTATTAAAATTGTCAACTTCAAATGAAATAATGTTAAAACTAAAAAAAAATTTAATTTTTTGTTGTAATTCTCAAGCAATTATTTTTTTTTGCGGTGACTTCAACTAAATTTTGTCAATAGGCGACGAACCCATTGTTCCTCCAGCAATTTTCTCTCGATAAATAAACAAATATGAGTGATTTCCGACGCATTCTAGATCAGTCGGTATAAACACCAACATCCTTGAAATTTCTCTCAATCTAGTCTCAAAAATCGTGTAATTTATTCAAAGAAACTGAAAACAATCCACAATTGGCACTTTCACCGCCCCTTGACACTTTCTTTGATTGATTTTTCCATAAATAAGACCGCATATGCGGGTCGTTGTTGTAATCGAAATAGTTAGAGATCACGTGGGATGAATGATTGTAATTATCAGACATGCAGAGAGAATGTGGTTGGCTTTTGATCTGCAGTCGGAGCCTCGAGGAAAGGAAATTACGGCGACTAGTTTACAAAATATTTCTTCTTTCTGATTTTACTCGCATGAGAAGTATCCGTCATATACCGGGTGTTAAATTGTAAATAAGGAAATAATAAGCACACTTTATGCTTTATTACCGATCGTAAATCTCACTGGAAGTTGTCTTTAACACATTTATGACCTTAGCGGCGTTGCAAGACAAAAAACACAAATAATTTAATGGGTTCGTCGTCTAATCACAGTTGAAATCACCAACAAAAACTATCAATTACCCAATTTTGACCATCCAAAGTGGGATTTTTCTCATTATTAATTAATTTAGAGTCACTTTAAACCATTTTTGACCGCCAAATACCAACAATAACCGCGATTTTGGAACAATTTTATTAGTGGGTTCGTCGCTTATCGCCAAATTTCCGTTAAAGTCTCCAACAAAATTGGCTTTTTCTCTGTCAAATTGTCGTAATTGTACTTTTTCTCATAATCTTGCGTCTTGAAAAGCGGTAATTAATAAAATGAGCAGTTCACGCAATTATACGGGGGTAAATGCTCAATTGAAACAATGACAATGAGAAACGAAGAGTTGAATTGTCTGAAGAGAAAACCTTGAGAAGTGGCCAAGTTCAGACCCAGATTCGTGTTAAGATTTATTAATTTTCAGAAATTATGGAAAAGAGCAGAATTTAAAATTGATCGTTTTTCACTTTCACTCGGATTTAACACCATGTGAAAGCGATTTTTTCGAAAAAAATGTAAATTTATAATGGGGAGAATAAGTAGGCTGTGATATTTGATTAAAAACACATAATAAAGAATTTTCTATTTGCAAAAATATACAATTGTGATTTCAATGACATTTGGAAGATAACATTTTAACCAGTATTCAGAATAAATTACTCTCTCAAAGACATGGAAATGATGTTAATTCACTTGAGAACAGTTTACATTTAATGCACAGCTGAAAAAAGTAGAAAAAACCGCTGAAAACGGCGTTTGTGTTGGTGATTTCAATGACATTTTTCGCACAAGCGACGAACCCATTTCAGTTTTTTTAATTTCGCTCCTGAAAGCTTGAATTAAGTCATCCTCCAAAATTGAACCTTGACCTTGTCCGTGAAGCCAAATCGCTTCTTCTCTCCGAGAGTACACGACACGTCCGGGTACCTACTACCATTCACCTGCCTCGTGGAGGTGCACAGCCTACTTGCTCGTTCCCCCTTTTTAGTAGCAACAGGTGTTTTGATCGATCTGGAACGCGACAGTGCGCTCTCAGTGCCCGATTCGATTTTGTTTGTTAAATTTCAAGAAATGACAATGTGAGTGAGTGTCATTGTGGCATCATGGATTATATTTTCAATTTTGGATAATTTTTTGAGTAAGTGGAGGTCACAAAGTGGCCAAGATGGGAAAATGAGGTGATTTTTATGGAGATTTCAATGCCGAAATAAGGTGATCAAGCGACTAACCCAGAATTTTATTTCGCATTTAAATAAATAAATTGTTTCTATTTACCAAAGAAACATATTTGAAGAGTAGTTTACATAATCAGAGGTGACTTTGATGACGATATTTGTCAACCAATTGGTGTCATCAAATATTTTTAAATTTTTATTGCAGTGGAAATATTTGACGACGCAAAAAACACATTTCACTTGTTTGAGTCAAAACAAAATAAACTTTTTGTACTACTTTGTTGTCTCTAATAATTCTAGATTTTTTTTATTCACTCTTGTATGATATTTTACCAAATTTTGCTCTGTAGAATTAATTATTAATATTATATATAATTTTCTTTTAAATGTACCGGGTGAATCAACTTTTACGCACCTTCAAATTTCGGCTCTCCTAATTGTTGAAAAGAAATCGCATTCACTTTAAACGTTTCAGAAATTGAATTCTTGTCGATATTTCTGAAAATCTTTCTCTTCTATCTATTATGTGGGAGTGTATCAAGTCAGCTTCACGAAAGTGGCTCCGTTATTCGGCGTTTCTAATGCCCTCGAGCATCATGTAGTGAATGTGGGCGTCTCGACCTGTTACTTTATCTCGCAAAGCGATTTTCAAACACTAGAATTTTGTAAAATAGTAAATGAAAAAAATTTTTTTGAAAAAAAAGCAAGAATCTTGTCGAAAATGGACGATTTTCTAGATCAGAGACTGTCAAAACTGTCAAAAGTGATGTTTATGAGAGTACTTTCTCTGGTAATTAAACTAGAAATAGTGAAAAACAAAACTTCAATTAGTTATGTAAAAAAACTGAGAAAAAATGGGCGATTTTGCGAATTTTCAATGATTTTATCGGAGATTTCAACGAAAAGCGACGAACCCACTTAACTAAGATTGGCAAAAGTTCTTTGAAATATCCTAAAAGTACTCAAATTAAACAATAAGAAATTCAACTTTTTTAATAAATTAGCCAATTAATCTCTTTGGTGATTTCAATGCAAGTTTGAGATAAGCGACGAACCCATTACTTTTTTCAGCGACAAATTAACAAAAACTAGTTCATATTAGCTCAGGTATAACAAAATTGTAAATTTACTGAAACCATGAATAAAAAATAGAACACCTACTTTCATCAATTGAAGAATAAATCATAACATCTCACTGATAATTCACCGGCCGACAAACCCAATTATTGACCAAAAATTTTCATTTTTATTTATTTGTTTTGCATGCATAATCATAATTCCACGCTTTGTGAGTAGAGGTAATGGTGCCAAGTTAGAATAATTTCAAGTTTGGTAAATTACCAATTCAGGAGACTCCTCTGAAACCGCTCTTCAGACCCAAAAGTCACATCACGTCGCAAAACTGTTCTTCACACCCAATCCTGAAATTTTCTTTCAGCGATCTAGGACGTTGCGAAACACTGTGATTCATTTCTTGCACGATGAACATCTTGAAGAATGGTCAAGGATTCACTTAATTGTTTTGCTATTAAGGAAGTCGGTTTCCGTGCCGACATTTTGCAATTTTTAATTTGGGAAAATTCTGCAAATATTGACATTTTACAAGAAAAAATTCAACACACAGGTACCTACTTGATTAATTTTGCTGAAATTTTACAAAATTTTGACAAAAACACTACCAATTAAGCTTTTTCTTGGAGATTTCAATGCAAAAACAAGCGTCGAACTCACTTTTTCATAATTTTGTTTTATTTGTTAAAAGTTTCAAGTGTTTCAATCGAAAATAAATCGTTAGTTAAACAGACAGGTACCTACTTGA